TTGAGTTGCAGTCGATTCAACCGATATGACGATAACTTGCAAACCTATTTTTCGCGGTTTTCAGGACATAATGGGTTCATCAATTTATGATTCAACGACTTATTCAATCTCTTCATTTCATACATGCGTGTTTGACTAAGCTTTTCATAGCAGAAACTGGAAAATTTGATAAGCGGTATTACAGTTATATGGCCCATCGCTTTTGAAGCGTCATGTAACAGAGACAAAAGTTGTGAAAATTTGACACTGCACTTCTCGATGTGGCATTTGTTTATTGGCTTTAGGTTTTACGATGTTGGTCGAAAGTTTTCACACCGTAGACGCTTGCAATAAGTGACTGGATAATGCATTTTGCATTTTCGATTTAGTTTGATTGAACTTGAAGTCTCAATAGACAAGTACATGTCTATTTTCAAACTGGAACACAAGCATTTCCCCCTATTACGATTTGATAAAACTAATACATGAAGTCATTGAAAATGAACACCCAGGGCTTACGGTATCACGGAGCTGTAAGGGTTGAATAACCTTAGAGGATTCACTGCACTCAGTGGATTTTCCGGGGAAAAGTTCGATAATATTTGACTTCCAAGGATCACGATTCCCACTTCATCTTATCGCACAATCGTCAGTTTCTCGAGTCAACCATTCACCTGAAAAGCGTCAACTGGAGTTTCACACTCGTCAGAGCTAATCAGGTTGTTGGAAACACTGGTTCATCAACAATTCGGACTTCGAATCCCCAACACCGAGGATGTATGCGGGTTACTACTGAACCAACTGAATCCTACTTAGACTGATCAGAATTCGCGATTCCATTTTGTTCAATTGCCGTGCTCGCACCAGTCACATTATTGATTCCCATGACGAAACATGCAGACCTCTTCACATTGACTCTCATTGTATTTGCTGTGCAGCATACCAACGCCTGTCTTGATATCGCGGTTGCTTTGGGTCCCAGCAACACATTGAAATGAATACTTAACTATGTGTGCACCAATCTATCCGTTCCCGTTGGGTGACTTCTGTTTTTGTGTATTTTTCTCCGCCTACGCAAAATTAGAGCTTCACAGATGGGAGTAGACAGATGAATTAACTGTCCATTCACCTAGGTAAGCTTGTGAGAGTTCTTCGTGAAACAAAAACTTCGGCTTTTGTCTTTGATGGGTTTGTTCAGGTCTGTTTAGCCTTGTTCGAGCGAGTAAACACTGTAAACGAGCAACATGATATTCATGATCAGAGATACAGTGAAAGAGATAATCATATTGTTACACACTTCTCCACACAGCAACCGGAGGTTATCTGGATGTTTACCCACTAATAATATAACTGACTTCGGTCTACGGGTCAAACATTGTTTATCCCATTCCGGTCCACCTTTTGTGTTACGCATGTTTTTCTTTCTAATCACGAAATAAAACTAATATTTTGACGTTGACCGAATAAGCACAATCGATTCCATTCCTAATTGTAGTAACTAAACCACTGCAACATGCAAATAATTAGGTTGGACTATGTCAAACGTGTTGGCCAATAAAATATGTCCAGTGTAGGAGATTTGATAAACAAAATTCCCCGTTGATGAGAACTTTTCATTTACAAAAAGAAATATCAGATTCGAGGTTAAAGTTTCCATCACAACATTTCGAACTAGCTTTTTAATTGAATACATTGACTACATTTGTGGTCACTCTTATCTGTTCCTACCGTTGATTGATGAAGAAAGACATCGTGGTTGTTTAAACATGTTCCCCCATGTGAAAATTTTGATATTTACCAGATATGAAAACTGATTCCGCCTGAGGGATTCTCGGAGAATGGCGTTGTTGTGAAAAGTGATCCCCCGTGCGCTTTCAAGTTCACCACGTTTCATCAATGATACATTTCTGTCCAATCTGAATTTCTTCGAACACGGGCACAGAGTTCCAGTGATCCAAGCTACCTCTTAGCAATCCGTTTCATTTCAATACCTGATGTGAACGTTTATTTGTTTTCAGGAGCACAAGGAACTGAACTTTCTCGGACAACATTTAAATCTACGACAAGAATAGTTTTAATTTTTCTTTTTTATTGATTGGGAATAAAATCTGTGGGATCAGTATTTCATGCCACATATTTTTTTCACACAGAGGACAAAACCGATCCCAGTCCCATATATCAACCAACATGACTCCTAAAGTTACCTGGGAGACGCGACAGATGCAGTAAGCTTGCAACTGAACTGGATTGGATAATGATGGATTGATGGAATGTGTATTTCATCGCATACGGAATAATTTTGTGTTGTGTTGTGGTGAAATAGCCTATGATGCTGACCCCATCTTTTTATCATTATCGTTTTTACCTCATTTTGTTGAGTATACGGAGATACAATTTTTCAGCAATGGGAGAAGCGGCCAATCAAAGAGCTACCATACAACACACAACGGGGAAAGACAGGTGGTGGTGGGATTCGAACACATATCCTCCGGGGTCATAATTGGTGACGTTACTGCCGGGCCACCATCAACGTGTGTACCGTGATTTCATTCGTGTGTTAGTCGAGGTTTCGGAAATTAACTGTCGGATAAAACCAATGAATAGATGAGTGTATGAATGCTTGGGTTTCCATACAGTCAAATTCCCTGTTCGCCAGTTCAAGTTAATCGTTTTCTGATCAAAATTGTTCATTTCCTGTAGACTCTTACGTTTCTATTCCGGGTAGATAAACCACATAGCGCGTTAGCTTTTTCTGACAAAAAGCTCGTATTCAAAACCCTGTATTCGGTGCTCACTTGTTCACCATGTCATGCGAATCTCACCCTGAATCGTAGGTTGCCGCCTTGCTGATATGCTGGTTCAAATGTCTGTTCGCCCTGAAAGATGGCACACCAATATGTTAGTCATTATCGATTCCGCCCAGATGTGTCTTCTTGTGTTCGTGAAATGGGAAATGGGAAATCGGAAAAGGATGTTTCAAAGGTTTTTTATTGTTAACTTCAATTGATTAATTCATCTCTCTGCATATTGTCACACCGTCGTAAGTTGATTTAAATGTTGACTGACATTCGTATGGACCTCGTTTGTGTTTTTAATGCATGTCTCTCTTTACGTATTTGTTGGATTCAGATCCTGGATAGATAGCGAGGGGTGAATGCGCACAACTTTCAACTACGGTCAACACTGGTGTCGATTTATAACAAGGGATATTTCGATACTCTCTTCCAAATCCGAGTGGGGACTCATTCGGCATTGATTGGGGATGTTTAAGAAGACACACAGGGGGCACCAAATCCCGACGTCGACTATAGGGAATAAAAGAACAGCACTGAAACCCATGTTGTTTCGGACATCGGAACAACTTTGATAAATGATCCAGATTTGTGTCCAATATTCGTGCTCGTGGGGTCAAGGTATTTCACACAATGTCAATAAATTTGAATTCAAGCAACCGTTCTTTGATTTGGTTTCAGGGGTTTGGATAGCTATAACCATCAGGACTGAGTAGGTATACCCAAAGAGTCACCAACATTAATAAGCAATCAGAATTGTGATAATCATAACTGGCATGAACTAGAAATCACATTCGGAAGAGTTTCCATCCATTATTTAGTTTCCTCATCTTCATTAAATTGAACCTATCTAAATTCTCATTTCACTTGCTACATGGTATATGCGCACACGGAAGCTTGACTTATTGGGTTGAATCAAAACATCGCTGGAGCAGAAAATTATACAAGCGAACCTTCCCCCCTCCCCCGGATGGCTTGGAGGGTATATGAGACCTGCGACTACGCACACCATCATGATTGACCGACGTGATGCAGTTCAATGTACTAGTTTTCACGGGTTGATAAACAGCATTAACTGCGCCTTTCTTTATAAACTAAATGACAAGTGCAATGTCGGCGATTCTTTCGATTTTAGTCAGTTCATATCCGGGTGACAATAAATTGTATTACGTGCATCTTACTACCCGCAGGTGACCCACCTCGTGGTTAAAAATGTCCTCACTAATCAGTTGATTACCAGCGGAAATCAACCAGTATATCGGCTACAAATAAGCACGCTTGAGTTAGCCTCTGGGCACGCTCTTTCTCGCATGTGGTTGAGACGGCTGTTTACATCACGGATGCGGTTCCTCTCTCTGTTAGGCGTGCGTTTGTCTATCATATACATATCATCACATACGCTTACGTCATTCAATACATCAAGCTGAGTAATCACTCGTCTCCGAGACGCTTAGCGGTCTCGAGCACACACGTGTGCGTTTCAGGCATGCTAAATGCGGGTCAACGCAACCTCGAGGGGTTGACAAGGGATGATGACCGGTCGGTCGGTTGTTCGGTCAGCTGGAGGAAGAACATTCATCACGTGAACTGAGACAGCTGTGCACTCCCGAAGTTGAACATTGTCGCAACTAACGCCGCTCCTGTTGCCTGATTGGGTCAGCCTCGGATTCCGTGTGAATACACACGTACACGCGCGAGAGTGTGAGGGCTTGCTTTCTTACGCGCGCACCCTTGACGCGCGGGATTCCTGTGCATCAGTGGCGCGTGTGACAGACAGACAGACCGACGGACCGTGGACTAACCCAGCGTGGCGTCCGAAAGAGGCTAGCCAACCGTGCATAAACGCGCGTGTGCACACACACACGAATACCGGTCACCATAGCGCATCGTTGTAGGCGCTAATTCAATTCAGTGAGTATCACAGCAGCGACTTCGGAAACGGTAGCAGCAGCAACAGCAGCAATCGAGCTGTCACGAAAACGCAATTACTGAGATAATACATCCCAGGCGCCTGCAAGAGGGCAGCGGCTAATTTGTCTTTCGTCACCACTCGTGCTGAACAGAAATTGTTTTTAAATTTGATTTCCTGCACATTTCATTCACTCTACTACTCTTTGTGATTTTGCGTGTGAAATAGTGTTCTTGTGTTTTGTTTTGGTTGTTGTGAACAACTACGCTTAACACTTCTACACCTGTGGTGCGGAGCTTACCTCGTCAACTACTGTTCCGATGCCGGAACAGGTGACCAATCTCCCCCCGACTAGTTTGGAACCTAATGTTACATTATCCACATCGAATTACGGAACAAATTCCGGTATGACTGATTCGATTTCTGCGGTCAGCGCGGTCGGACCACTAACGCTCTCCACCTCAGCACACATACATGCCAGTTCCGCAATGACTCCGTCCACCTCGTCGTCGCTTATGGTACCCAGTTCGGGAATACCTCAAACGCTGGATCATTGGTCTGCGACCCTACTGGCTGCGCAGGCTTTGGTGAGAACAAAAAAGGTGTTCATCGGTGGTGTGTCAAGCGGCACAACAGCAGAGGAGCTAGAGGCGTTTTTCAGCGAGTTTGGCAAGGTGAGCCATTGAAGCGACTGTCACAATCATTTGTCTGTTTTTTTCACTCCGGAGTTTATATGACGGAAATCCATGGTTGAACCTGAGGAATAAAATACATTTACCATTGCGTCAATTCAATCTACTCACTTAGCGGAGACCTAAAAATGCTATTTATCCTAGAAGAACGCGTTCGATACAAAAAGCTCTGATTTTCTAATTGGGGAATCTCCGAAGGTCACACGAGCCATGCATTTGCAACATAAACTACTGATAAAACGAAAGAATTCATCCTTATTCTACTCCTAAATTATCATTTGTTAAATCTTTCCAAACAGAAATAGTAGCGGTGAACTGAATACGTTCAGTTCCTTCTAAAAACACTCTTTCTAAACAGAATTTCACCTTTCAGCTTTTATCTCTCGGTTTTCTACGATGCCCGACGAATTTTTCGGAATATTCATTGATGGGCAATAGTTTTCTTCCGCGAATTCTTCTTTCATTGGAAGGTGCTAAGTAGTGCAAAAAGTTCGCACTCTTCAGTAAAACGATCTGAACCATGTCCTTTTGTATTACTCTGGAGGAAAACATGAATGCTATATTGAACGCTCAAGGTTTGGTTGGGCTAAGGTGGATTCTTCGTTGTAAATCTCCATTGAGGCCCTCTAGTATCTATCTAGAGGCGCTGTTGCACTTGATTTCGTGCGATGCGGAAGGTTTCGGGTTGGACGAGTTCAGGAGATCAGACTAGGGAACTAAATGTTCATTGTTTGTCAACATTGTACACTATCAATGCGACGCTATCACGAACCAATTTTTATTGAAATCAACACCTAATTGTCTCTCAGACATTCATACGATTCAGACCTTAGGGTCTTCCCATTTCAGGCTTATCCCTCAAATTCACAGTTATTTCATTTCTGGATTTAAATGAATAAAGTTTTTAAACTCAAGTTGGATAGATAGATTGGTAAAACTGTGTTGGAATAAAACCATGTAAATAATCAGCTTTCTCATAATGAGCGACATTTGTTAAAAGCGAGGTACTGTCATTGAAATGAATTTTATGGAAACTTACTGAAACATGATCTTCGATATCCGAGAGTTTGGTTTTATCCTTCAGACGATGTTATTTTGAAGATTACAAAACTCAACTGTGGATATCAACGAGACACCAAGAGAATTCCTGATAAGTTGAGGTTGGACTATAAAATAATCTTGTGGCTTTTCTGTGACTTTCCTAAGCGAAGGGTTTGTGTTCTATTTGGCTTGATTTCTCTAGACATGTTTTTTGATATTACTCACTGTAAGATTCGTTTCTGCAGTAGGCTACATAGGTTTTTCTCTTTTGGTGCACTGCTTTCTGGGACGAATTCAGTTTTGAAGTTTTGTTCGTCAAATGTTCGTTTTTTTCTGGGTGGGAAAACCATTATTTGCGTTGTTTTTTTTTACCTGACGATTCTTCGGAATAAGTCAGGAATTTCAAAAGATCGAAATAAAGCGAAATTCTTCAGAATTTCCAAAAGCGTTTGCCGTGACTCATTTAGTCTGGAACTCTAAACCGTCCTAAATTAAGTCATATATAAGCTATACATTGGTTCTTCTATATCCACGTTTAGATTCACATACGTTTCTCATCAGCCCGTTTAAAATCCTCGTCTGAAATAGAGCGATCAATTCAGATCACGTGTCAAGAAGTTCTGATCATGACTGACCTTGTTGGGTATTCTATAGTTGATTCTTTCCACCAAACTCTGGCCGCAACTTTCCGGTTCAACTGGGATGAAAAGATAAACCAATGGAACAAAATCTTTGACCCAAAATGCATCGGTCTTGTATCGTACACATGTCAAGCTAACTTGCTCTGCAAACATCCTATCAGATTATTCTCAGCTCTGATAGACAAAACTTTATCCTTGCGAAAGGCAGAAGAGAAAAGATGGCATAAATCAAGACTGTACAATAATAAAACTCGTTTTGTGTTCAAGGGATTAGCTTGTCGGTGGATTTACCGATCGATGACTGCACCCTTTCTTTCATTGTAGTGTTTAAACACACTTGCAAAATTCGAGTTGCGTCCGTACGATGAATTTTTGTAGCTTGAACGTGCTTTAAATCATGCCGAAGATGGAACGATGTGTTTACACGATCAGATTTCATAATTTGCTCCAAAACAAAACCTTCAATCAATCCTGATCAGTGACTTAAGCCAATGGGATTATTCGCTTCAATCTGAAGTGTCGTACCTATTCATTACGTCACTCACCCAATCCTAGATATCGTTCACAAATGCCTTTGATTCCCTCCCATGTGATCTATCTTCGTGTCATTGCACAAATAAAAGCAAACTTGAAAGGGTGAATGGAATTTGTCAGTTGTTTCAAACTTATTCGGAGGGGACAATATGAACGTAGGTTCGACTGCAGAGCGCTTCCAACGCTCAACCGAGTTCAACCTGACCGTTCCAATTTCTCATCTACCTTAATGTTACTGTTTCCCACAAAGCGATCCAAAATGGCTCACTACAGAGGACAGTCACAGTCATACATCAAAAGTGTCCACAAAGTCTTGGTAACTAGCCACAAATGGGCAATAACCAGTTCTCATCACTAGACAAGCCTTCGAATCATTTGTTTTGAAAATAGAATGCAAACATATGTAAAACTGCCATGGTTATCCATAATTGGCGTCATCATCATCATCCCGTTGTAGGTATGTGTTCATGACCCCTTGGTATTTTGGAAGATCTCTAAGATTATCTCTGACTTGGGTGTAGTCGATACAATTCCCCTTTAGGCGGCTGACAGAGATGAAACGCTCTGAATAATTTATGGCTATGAAATGAAATTTGTCATTTACACAGACAAAGAAGCTGTAATTCAAGATGGCAACGCACTGCTTAGAATCGTCAGCAACAGCTAACAACTGTAACATTTGCTTATCCATCAGATTGAATACACTCACTCATTTGCGTGAACAATGAAAAAGAGTCACCCTTCAATGAACAATGACAGGGACAAGTTCGATTAGAGAGTAACATGAGGCTCACTAGTGAACCGTTCCACAGCAACCTTGTGTATCATCGAATAAGAGTAACGGTTGGGAAATTTGAAATCTTCAACCAAGAGGATGTGAGTACGTTTTCAAACTGAATATTCTGTCATACTCATTTATTTTGTCACTACATAATATACCATATCTCATTTTTGCCGATTGACGTCGAAACGCGGGACTCGCTCATGAATTCTCTAAGGTCTAGGGGGGGGGGAATAACGTTAAACTGTTATTGCGTAATCGTTTCGAAGCTTTCATCTTTTAACCGCACTACCACTAAGACCGCCGCTATTACTCGAAGTAAACTTGGATTGGAATTGTAACTGGCTGTCAGACCGCTGTAGAAATGATGCGTGCATAGGTTGCACTAGGATTGATTGGATAGAGTTTACTTTTATCAAGAACCCAAAAGTCGCCTGCGTGGAACTTTTCAAGCAATTCCAATTTCCAGTTTTTATACTTCTAATTTGTCCAAACGGAAATGAACTCACATCAGGCTTAATCAAGATCACATAAGTTGTATCCCATTGATTAGAGGCATCAGTCAGTATCACGCCTGAGAACAAATTGTTAATCGATTTCTTCGTCTTAAGGGTGATTGGATCGAGGGAAATAACAAACAGCACTTGAAACTATACGGCCTCATAATCTATATCGATTTTCGTGATGAGGTGTGATCAAATTCTTGCCATGGATGCAGGCTCTAGATCGACTGTACAGTGGGCATCAGAACGGGTTGTAAAAGGGCTCCCTTTTCATAATGAAATGAAATAATAGCTCTTAGTAAAAAGAACCTGTAAGGCGGCGTCAATGGGATATATCATTGTCAACTCTGTAGCATAAAATTTGGCAAGATAGACAGACGTATGCATATCACTCAATAATCTGGGGTTTTGGCACATGATCACTGAAAATCGCATTTGTAAGCAACCACCGTACCAAAATTCATTACCATCTGGAGACTGTATAATTGCTGCCGACAAAGCTTTATACTATGAAGTGAGTTTCCAGGTCAAGTTAAAGGGAAGGACCTTCTAGGTTGTGCACCGTAAATAGATGACCATTGTTGCACTGAATAGGCGGTTGCGAATAATCACCGGAGGTATCTAAAGATGTGGAGATTCTTCAATGGTAAGTGATCTTCGGTGCACCGAAAACCAAACATGTCCGTGGAGCGCTTTGTGGAGTTCACAAATCTGGCCCGTCACTCTGTTTGTAGCACACGGCTGAGAGGTTAGAGGTTAGGATAAAGCTGGATGGCACTGTTGATGTCATTAAAACATATACTGCCGCTTCACCACTGAATCTGATTCTTCTTGCCGTAGGAGAATGTAACCTACGCTTAGCATCTAAAGTGGTAAGTTTCATTCAGACACGTTGTCAGTGATCCAATATGGCACTCAGAACTACCATGGTATGATGAAGGAAAATACTTCAAAGAAAAGCAAAACCGTGAAGAAGATTGCATGTATCATCCGTCTCTATCAGACGGATAAGAATATCGCTTGTATTCATTGATAGAATGTTTTGTCAGGTGGCTTTAATTCACTTTTTTCAAAGCTTCTCATCATTGCCAGATGGCAACAAAATACGACTTCATAACGATGTTGA